TATTCTGTATTTCCTTAACTTTGCTTCATGGTACTAATACAGAGAAGTTAGCAGAAATTTTACACGTAATTTTATATCTTCTTTTCGTGTCCAATTTGTTTTATATTGAACAATGTCAGTCAAAATATTGTGTATATTTCCCCTTCACGACCATTTCAAGATTGTTTTTTTTTTACTTGTTTTAGGTCAAGAATTAGATTTTAATACTTGCCACTTGCCATTATTAAACTTACAAGAAATTAATCAATGATTTAGTAATAATATGAACAGCTAGAAATTCAGGTAGACCGAGGAACACATTTTAACTTATCATGCTATTGTAAAGAAAATTATTTATAATGGTGGTATAAAAACAACTGTGGGGTCCAAGAACTCCCTATCGTAGGCGGACATGTAAATGAACGTTAAAACAATAATTAGCTCTTCATTATATCAGATAGCAAATAAAAGCTTTGGTTTCTGCTTTGTTAAAAGTATACATCTGTACTCATGATCAATACCTGACTTGTATGTATCATTATTGAATTCTATTTTTGTCATTTATTTAATATTTCCGTCTATAAGTACTATCTCGTGATTTCGATTGTTTTTCTGTCGTGTGCTTTTCTTTGTTTCAATCAAACAAATGTCAAGGTTTAAGTATTTCCTACAATTGTTGTGAAATAAAAATAAAGACTTCAGAGCCAAAAATTATGCGATTTAATGTCTCATGTATTTGATGGAATGCCATTAAATTGATATCTATTTTGAGAAAAAAAAACAATAAATGTTGCTGCATTTTTGTTATGTTAGCTTAAATATCGTTACAGAAGTGTGTCAACATGAAAAGGGGTAATCAATAAAAATGACGGCTTTGGTGGCCATAAATAATTGACCATTTCTCACACCATTTTAAAACACTTTACAACATGAAAATAACGCTTATATATATATGTCATTGTATGTGACAAATTGTATTTTGCTACAAGTAATTCTTACAATTAAAACGTATATTTATAAAAGATTATTTCGTTCATTTACACAGCTGTTGACGGCTTGTTTCTCTCCAAGTCCTCTCAAATCTCGTAAAATCTAGAGGAATTTAATTATGACATAAGGAAAACCTACGAGTTTTTTATCCCGTAACTATACTTTTTGAATTATTATATGGTCAATATTATAAGGTCTGCAGATTTTGGTAGCCATAATGCGGCATAAAATATTCCTCTTAATTGAATAATGACTGCATGTTTCCCGTATACTTTAATGTAACCAGACTCCCATTATTTTCATTACAAATACATGTACAAATCTACATGTAGTACATCTTGATACATGTTATATGAGTGAAGACTTAAAGGTAAAGTTCATTCTGAATTTTTAGTAAGTAACATGTATAGGGGTTTAATTGTATTTTCATGAGGACTGGTACTTTTCTCATTTGTAGGCAGTCCTTCTCTATACACATAATGGCTCTGCTTCATTTGTTTAAGTTCGCACTAGGCCTGGTTAGCCCTAATACGTGACTGGGTTTAATCAACTAAAAGCAAAACAAGTTGAACCAGCTGATCAATGCAAAGATTCATCACGAAGAACACAATCATGCAACATGTACTTGCATTTGTAGCCTTCGAATATCCCAAGATTATTCTGTTGATGATGTATGTACACGTACAATCTTTTTTGACACAACCGAATTCATCCTAAAATCATTTCTCTGAGCTAATCTTATCAAAATTGGAAATAAGAAATGGTACATGTTTGATTTCTTTGTCAGATTTATTTTATTTATATCACTTTAATTTTGTTCCTCAATTCACAGTTGTAACGCAATCCGCTCAAAGGGGCCGTCTTAAACTTGCAGTGAGGTAAGAGTTTGTTTGCTCCGTGTTGAAGGCCTCGCTGTGACTTTGAGATGAAGAACAGCAACATGAGCAATAAAAGCGCTGTTCCTTTGCTTTTTATGTTTTTTGCTGTGCACATACTGGTTTTGTGTCATGGACGAATAAATTACCCCATATCCTTTCTTTTCTATTATTGTATTCTATATCGTCATAGTGGTGATATGCTGCATTACCATTACGATATGGTACATCAAAATATATTGTGATAGAATAAGTAGAAATTATAAATTATAATTATAATAATGAAAATTGTGTTGGATCATTTTTGGTTGTTGCGAAAATGAAATTGACGCAACTGTTATATAAGGGTGCCACATGTTGAGGAGGATATGCTTACCCTTCCGGAGCACCTGAGATCATCCCGGTTTTTTCGAGCCTTCGACTTTAGTCGAAAAAGCGAGACATAGCGATCCTACATTCCGTCGGCGTCGTCGTCGTCGTCGTTGTCGTCGGCGGCGTCCACAAATATTCACTCTGTGGTTAAAGTTTTTGAAATTTTAATAACTTTCTTAAACTATCCTGGATTTCTACCAAACTTGGACAGAAGCTTGTTTATGATCAAAAGATAGTATCCAGAAGTAAATTTTGTAAACATAAAATTCCTGTTTTTCCGTATTTTACTTGTAAATGGACTTAGTTTTTCTGCCAGGAAACAATACATTCACTCTGTGGTTAAAGTTTTAAAAATTTTAATAACTTTCTTAAACTATCCTGGATTTGTACCAAACTTGGACAGAAGCTTGTTTATGATCATAAGATAGTATCCAGAAGTAAATTTGTTAAAAAAAAATTTCATTTTTTCCGTATTTTACTTATAAATGGACTTAGTTTTTCTGCCAGGAAACAATACATTCACTCTGTGGTTAAAGTTTTAAAAATTTTAATAACTTTCTTAAACTATCCTGGATTTGTACCAAACTTGGACAGAAGCTTGTTTATGATCATATGATAGTATCCAGAAGTAAATTTGTTAAAAAAAAATTTCATTTTTTCCGTATTTTACTTATAAATGGACTTAGTTTTTCTGCCAGGAAACAATATTTTCACTCTGGTTAAAGTTTTTAAAATTTTAATAACTTTCTTAAACTATCCTGGATTTGTACCAAATTTGGACAGAAGCTTGTTTATGATCAAAAGCTAGTATCTAGAAGGAATTTTTGTTAAAATTTTTTACCTGTTTATCTATATTTTACTTATAAATGGACTTAGTTTTTCTTCCAGTTAACATTAAATACAGTCTGCAGTTAAAGTTTTTAAAACATTTATTAGATTCATAAACTATCCTGGATTTATACCAAACTTTGACAGAAGCTTCTTACAATCAAAAGATAGTATCTAAAGGAGTATTTTTATTGATTTTTTTTCCTCATTTTTGTTGAGCCTGCGATTAACAGCAAAAGTAGGCGAGACACTGGGTTCCGCGGAACCCTTACGAATTTTTGGTGGTGTTGGTGTTGCGCAGTCTTCAGTTTTCTATGTTGTTTTTTTTTTTTTTGTGTACTGTTGTTTGTCTTTTGGTCTTTTCCTTTTTGCAATGACGCTGTCCGTTTAATTTCAACTTATGAGTTTTTGAATATCCCTTTGGTATCTTTTTCCTCTCTTTTATATAATTAAGCATCTTATATTCCTTCTTCTTAAAAGAAATGTTTGTATTTTTTTTTTTTAAATATGGTTGTTGTTACCGTATTTCTGTATTTTGACATACACGACACACAGTGAAAGATAATACGACATTTTAACCCCAGTGGTTCATTGTGAAGTTTCTCTCTAAAACGCATCACATTTGATAAATTCCTTTGAATAACGAGCACGTCCTGGCATGTAGCAGTAAATTCAATGAGCTGTCAAAAGAAAGAAAGAAGATACCAAGGTTGCATTGGAAAATCAGCCAAAACAGACAATACCAAGGCCAAAAATAATAAGATGCTCCGCAGCGCGCAGCTTAATACGACCGCATAGGTCGAACCTTCAACAGTTGTGGCAAGTATGGACACAACATTCAAGCTTGATACAGCACTGAGTTTGGATTGTGATTAAATATTTGACACAGCATAGGTTTCTGACACAGAATGAATGTGATCTTAAAAATTTGAAATTGGACATTTACGTATAATGGTCATAGGACTCCTAAAATTCAATTTTTGATGAAATTAAACAAAGTTTAATTTGAACCCTTTTGACCTCAATGTGAACGAATGGGACAACCAGGCCCAAAATTAAATATCTTAATCCACGGTTAGATTCAGCATACCAAAGAACCCGAGAGAATTTAATTTTTGTTGAAATCAAACAAAGTTTGATTTTGGACCCTTTGGACCTCAATGTGTACCAATTTGAAAACGGGGCCAAGGATCGAAAATATAAATAGACGGTTAGATTCGGTATATCTAAGAAATCAAAAATTCAATATTTGACCCTTTGGACCTCAATGTGGACCAATTTAAAAACGGGGCCCAAAATCCAAACACACAATTAGATTCAGCATATTAAAGAACCCCAAAATTTCAAGACTTTGAATTAAATCCCATGATTGTAATTGGTCAAGAAATATGCAATTAATACAAAGTATTAAAAAAAGTATTGTTTTTGGCCCCTTTTTGCTGGCCCCTAATTCCTAAACGGCTAGAGCCAAAACCCCAAAAATCAATCAGAATCTTCCTTTTATTTGGAATAGTCTGAACCTTGTGGTACAATTGCATAGACATCCATAGACTTATACTCAAGTTGTTGTCCGGAAACCAGAAAATTCATTTTTTGTGCCACTTTTTGGTCGCTAATTCCTAAACAGTTAAGACAATAATCCCCACAATCAATCCCAACCTTTCTTTTGTGGTACAAAACCTTGTGGTACAATTACATAGAGATCCATACACTTATACTCAAGTTATTGTTTCGAAACCAAATATCTTCGGACGACGACGACGAGACTACGCTGATGACCACCTCGCCATACCATTATACGTCCGCAAACATTTGTGGTCGTATAAAAACGACAGAGACAAACAACAATAACAAACACTACAGAGAAAACTTAAAACTGCGCAACACGAACCCACCAAACACCTTGGGTGAACTCAAGTGCTCTGAAAAAAAAAGTAAAATAACAAAAATACCAAGGAAAATTAAAAACGGAAAGTCCTTTATCAAATGGCAAAAGGGTTAGCAGTTTCCGATCTACATGTGAAATATTTTTATAATGCTTGATATCCACGATTATCCCAAAATCAACTACAGTGAGATTGTAGGCTGAAAAGTCGGCATCGCTATTTTCTATAAAATAATTTGCCTCCTCTACGCAGTCGTAGATCTTATAGGGAATCCTGACATTGCCTGGCGTTATTGAGATGATAATGACAACGAAACTTAAGAAAATAAGCATACTGTATAGTCTGAATACTACACATGTCATTCTCAACTTCCCTTAGAAGTTCGTAAGGTATTAATAAAGAGTTCTCTTCGAATATCATAACATCTACTAACATTATTTTCCACTGTTGAACAATGCTTTTCTTCTGGATTGTTTTAAGTTTAAGTATTCGGTGATCTATATCCAACACATCCATGGAACGGAACAGTTTTGCGGGAGTATATTTCGATATAGAATACTCGATGATGCGTAACGCTTTATTGTATTGTTTTGTCTAATAGAAAAACGAGGCTAACATCAGCCATCCAGATACAGCATCGTGATAGATATTCTGTTGTAAAGTACTAAGACAAGATCTATACTGTGTGTATTGGTATTTATTACTGCATGTACTGGTCAGTGGTAAAGTCTGAGCACGTATTGAACACGCGATTGACATAAAGTATGTGTATAAGTATTTTATTGAAGATTTCTGACATGAAACTATCAGTTTTATTCCTATATTGAATACGTTCTGTATAATATGAGTGACCATAATATTTAAAGATTGCAATTGAAGCGAATTAACTATTTTTACAACTTCAGGTACATACAATGAATGTGGTTCGATGTGGAAATTCGGCATTGATCCATGAAACTTAGATATCTGATCGGAAAATAAAATGCATCGCCAACCATTACTATGCAGGTTAAATAGTTTTTCTAAAAGTATATCACGAGCACGACCCTCTATCTTGTTCTCAAACATGTTGTTCTCTGGAATGAAATAATGCAGGCAAACTGAATACTTGACACAATAAATCAGTCTCATTAAACATCGCATAAAGCAAGGTATAAGACTAGCAGGTTTCCATGCACATTGCGGTAGTTCTTCAGATATCCAGAAAATAATTGTTTTCAGAAAATATGAACAGAGTAAATCTTTACATTCAGAGTTAGTAGCAATAACATCCTTCAGGAGAATTTTTAAGAGGGCATAGCATAATAATTGAGAGTGTGTAAACGTATGTATAAGAAGTTTTTCACCAACTGAAAAGGATATTCGCCATTCAAGATGTTCTTTTGGTGACCCCTTTACTCCGATGGGTACAAAGAGTACGCCGTGTTCTACAATACGTTGTTTCACATTAAGACTCGGCCATTGATTGCTTGGTCTGGTTATCCACTGTGTTGCAGGTGATACCCAAGTTTTACAACGAAGGCATAGGGCTATATCCATCTTTTCATCATTGTCAGATATACACGGTCCATGAATACTAAGTTTTTTCTTATCAACCAAGAGGCCTTGTCTAAATATAGCGCTCGAAAAAAAATATTTACCATTTAGTTCTTCAAGAGTTCTATTGAATATACCACTTTTATTTTCGCAATACAATTTAGTAAATCCAGGCTTTACATCATCTGTATCCATTGTCCAATATCTAATATTTGGATGTGAACTGGATTTCACATTTTGAATCTTCATATCTTTGAGCACACACATAATATCTAAATCGCTGCCTCGCATCTCAAGTCCTTCCCCAAAACTACCATTTGTAATAAATGTCATCTTTTCATCACTAGACAAGTTATCACGGACGGTGTTAATCCATCTGAGTTGTTTAACGTGATCTTCTGTTCCTACTATATTCTGACACAGATAACGGTACAGTGCTGTTGATATGTTTTGTGTTACGTTGTCTGTAATAAGAAAAAAAAAATCCTTGATTATTAGAAAAATAAATAATCGTAAAACTAAGTTGAAGGTTGCATTTCTGTAAATATAAACAATGCAATTTCCCATAGGAACTCCTTTTACGGCTAAAACTGTACCACTTTTACTATGAAGTTTCGAAAAAAAATTATATCCTAGAATGGAAAGCTCATATGCACTACTATTTTTTTCAAAGGTCAAAAATAGGGCTGTGCGCCATATTTTCAACTTTTATATGCCCCGAACTTCTAAGAGTTTAAACTTGTACTTAAATTCTGTACTACCCCTACCTTCATTTTTGGGTTCCCTCAGAATTCAAGGCTGCCGCTATAATTTTTTATTTATACTGGTAACATTCCCAAGTTATGTCTCACTGAGATGAAACATAGAGATCATATCTGGGAACCAGTACGTAAACAAAACAATTTATCTACGAATATTATATATCTCCCCAAAAGAGGCATGGTTTGTGAAACAGCTGAATTTACAAAGTGCAACCTGAAATAAAAAAAATATGACAACTTGGAAGATAGATTTAACGTATACATATACATGTACAGTCTTCCCTTGAAAGGTAAATCGAGTACATTTGATATGTGACATGTAAAAACATGTATTTGAATAAAAGTAATCAGGGATAATACTGTTATCTGCGTCATGATATATAAATCCTTATTTTATTTAAGAATTACATGCTTCCTTTTGCAATTTTATAGGGTTTTAAAAGCGTTCACCGAAGCGCTTCATATTAGAAATCTGCGCATTTGGATTTTAGAATTTCAAAAAGCAGCATTGAATTCATATACTTAATATTGTCATGCTACAACCAAAGAATTACGAATTACATCTAGCCTTTTGTATGTTTTTCTTTGCATTGTTGTTACGGAGAGCACATGCAGTCATCAATGGTCATAGATGTTACATTTTTACAGGAATAAATTTAACTTTTGAAATGCTTCAGCCAATTAAAATTTCAGAATTGTACATGTATGTCGATGCCATGTAATTATAAATTATTAAAAACAATATTTTTATTGATATATGGGTCATATCAAGAAATGTCGAATTTTCAGTACACCTATGCTAAAATTTTCATTTCTAAAGGAAAATGCAGTTGTAAGTGTTTAAATGAAAGTTTGTAGAATTTATGAGTCAAAACATTAATAATAAACACGATTTAGATTTATTTTGATAAGATTAAAATATATTTAAGTCTGATTTTTGGGTAATTTACATGCGTACAGGGTCAAGGTAAAACATTTCAAATGATTTTTTTCCTATTTTCTGATTGCCTAGATATCTGCAAAAGGGACTTTTTAAGAATGTTAATAACTCTAAAAAAAAATCGCAGCTTCTTTATTATACTATGTAACATTTTTTCTAAAAACTAAGTTCAATCAGCGTAAATGAAGTTCATGTCCATCCTGTTACCGCTACTTAAATCAACCGTCAAATTGTTCTCCCTGTAAATATTGAACTAGTCCGTGTTGATTTCAAAAGCGCAAAGCAACATAAACATTTAACACAGCACGTTTCTTGCATAACAGTGTAGAGGAAAGAAAATTCCAGACATTTGGTGAAAAAAAAAAGTGGGTACCCTTTTGTCATGTCTATGCTGTTACCAACATATTTATTAATTTACACCAATATACTAATTCTTGTAAAAAGTGCAATAACGTGTTGGAAACCAAAATCACAACAGAAAAACATTATCACTTTATCAAAGGGAGTAGTTATTTCACAACAGCATTCATAAATGAAGAAATTGTACATTTTTAATGAGATTTTATTAAATAAATACTTACCATCATAAATTCTGAGTACATCCATCTGCGCAAGTCTGACAGGCGGAAATCCCCAAATAAAAATATCATCCAATGAGAACAAGGGATGACCTGTGCCCATATAACCATGCCTTTATATCATCCATTTAATTTCCTAAAGTAAGCAAGAAGCCCTAGGAATAAATCAGGGGATGAAGGGGAAGTTGGGAGGGACCTTTAATTTATGATGGTAAGTATTCATTTAATAAAATCTCATTTTACCCTAAAAATGTACAATTTTATGTCAATAAATACGTTACCATCATACATTCTAAGTAAAATACAGAGTCTAACGCAAAGCTAAATCCCCTGAACTAGAAGATGCAGAAGGAAAACAACTCTTTGCACGAAAACTAAAGGTCCTAAGGAATAGAAACTCTGAGCTTGAGAAGATAATGATTGCAGATAGTGAGAAATGAAAGAATTTTCAGTTCTCCAGAAACCTGCAGATAAAACTTCCTCTAAAGAAGCGTTATTGAAAAGTGCCCAGGAGATAGAAATAGTTCTAACATCATGGGCCTGAACGTGCATACTATTCAGAAGTTCTTCATAAGAACAATTATAAGCTAATTGAATAGTTTTACAGATCCAAGTTGAAATGGTTTTAGCAGACAAATCTTGTTTTCCTTTGTTAATAGGAATAAATAACCTGGAATTTGAGGAGGTGCGAAGACTCCGAGTTCTCTGAAGATATAAAAGTAAGAATCGGATAGGACAGAGTACTTTAGAACTTGAATCATCAGGAAGGGCTGAAATCACTATCGGTTCTGAGCCTCGGCCCGGAATTTGATTTTTGGCTACAAAAGCTGGATCCGTTAAGAGAGTAACAGAGGACTTATCCCTATTACAACGAAGGTAGTAATCGGCAATGGAAAATGCCTGAATTTCACTTCTTCCTGTACCAGAGACCAAAGCAAGAAGGAAACAACACTTATACATTTATACGATAAGGACTTGATTTCAACCTTTTCAGCAGGTTCAAAAGGATGGGTTTTTAAAAATGATAAAACTACACTCAAATTCCAAGACGGAATTAAAACTCTCTGTCTAGGGCGTTCAAGAGTGAAATTCTTAACTAAAAGAGAAATGAAATCATTATTACCAAAATCTGGACTTCCAGACAGTTGTATCGTCCTAGCTGACCTATAGCCTTTAATAGTAGAGGGAGATAAACCTTTCATTTCAAAAAGGTGGATCAGGAAGTCTGTTACAGAAATTTGGAAAGGATCAACTTCCTTCTCACTACACCAACTACTAAAGATTGTCCACTTGGCGTCATAGACGATGTTAGTGGAATCTCTAACTGCTCGGGAGAAATGTCTGGCTGCGCATTCAGAAAAACCTCTCTCCTTGAAGCTATCCATGAGATGAAGAATCTTGCCCTTGAACTGGGACAGAAGATTGTGTCGTACTGGTAGAACCAGTGGACGAGCACAAAACAGATGAAGAAGATCGGGAAACCAGGCTTGTTTGGGCCAAACTGGAGCAATAGGAAAGATAAACCCTTGCTGTTGATGGGATCTTCCGAAGAACTTCCGACAGAAATTTGAACGGAGGGAAGGCGTAAGCAAACATTCCGTCCCAAGGAACACTCATGAAGTCTACTGCGTAGGCTTTCGGATCTTGTACAGGAGACATGAACACTTGAATTTTATAATTGAGGCTTGTTGCAAACAGATCTACATGTGGAGACCCCCCACTGAAGGGTTATTGCCTGAAATACTGATTGGAGAAGTTCCCACTCTGTATTGGCTGGGGTAAGTGTTCTGGACAGAGCATCTGCTAACACATTGAGTTTCCCTGGGACATGACGAACTACAATCTGTAGATGAAAGTGATTGTAAAGAAGGAGAATCTCTCTTGCTAAAAGGAACAACTCGTAACAATGAGTTCCTCATTGGTTTCGCAAATACGCCACCACTGTGGTGTTGTCCGATGCTAGAAGCAGAGATTTGTTCTGGAGTAGGGACTGAAAATGAGACAGTGCAAGAAGAACTGCCTTCATTTCTAATACGTTTATGTGCTCCTTCAAAAGATCTGGAGTCCACACTCCGGAGACTGAAAGACCTTCCAGATAAGCTCCCTAACCGAGGTTGGAGGATGTGAACAGAGTCTGATTTGGAACTGGAGAGGACAGAGGTTGGCCTCTCAAAACGTTTGCTTGAAAAATCCACCAAACCAGATGAGGATACAATTCCTGATGAATGATTGGAACTGGAAATTCCCAATCCTGCGTAGCTGGAAGCCAATGTTGATGTAGATCAAATTGAAGAGATCGAATGTGGAGTCGACCAAGAGGAACAATGTCCGCTAGAGAATTCAACAGACCTAGTAGTTGTGAAAATTGGCGAGCAGTTACTGTTTTTTGAGATAGAAACAGATGAATGTTTGAACAAAGATTCTGAATCTTTTCCTGTGGAGGTAGAACTATGCCTTGATGAGTAAGGTAATGTTTGCCTAGGAAAACAAAAAGTCCTGAGACGGAATCAGGTCTGACTTTTTCCAAGAGATGAGAAACCCAGAGAGAGAAGCAGTCTGATGACTAAATCGGTGTTGAGATTGAGTTTCTCGGGAGAAAGTTCCTTGATCAGTGAGTCGTTCAGATAAGAATGAATCTAAATAATCTGCGAATGAAGGTGAGCTATGGCTACCTGCATGAGTTTGGTAAAGGTGCAGTTGACAGACCAAAAGGGAGAGCTCTGAATTGCTAAACTCTGTTGTTCCAAACAAACCGAAGGAATTTGCGAAAAAATGAATGGCAAACCGGAACATGAAAATAAGCGTCCGTCAGATCCAGGGATGTGGTCCACATACCTGGAAGAATGGAAGTTCTGATTGAACGATTGGTCTCCATTTTGAAATGGGGAATAATCATATAAGAATTGAGGATAGACAAATCGATGACTGGTCTCATTCCCCCATGTCTTCTTCGAAAAAAGGAAGAGACTAGAATAAAAACCTGGATCTATTGAAGATACAGGGACTTCCTCCACTGCCCTCTTTGTCAAAAGAGTCTCTACTTCGGTCGACAGAAGAAGAAAGAGGAGGTTGTTCTCTGAATTGAAGAGTCAATCCCCTCGAATTACTGACAGAACCCAACAATCTGAGGTAATATTTGTCCATTTTTTTAGAAAATGTGTTAACCTACCCCTTCTGGTATTTGA